TGGCAGCATTCAGACACACCGCAGGAGCTTGCAGACTGCAAAGGGAAAGGCCAGGCCAGATAGAAACATCTCATCAAGGGGGAACGGATTTGAATCCAGCATAAGTGTGTGTAGCAACCAAACAAAATACCCAATGGCTGTTCAATCCTGAATGACAATTGATGGTTTGATTCTAGTTTCTAGAGGACACGTGTCCACATTACCATGTGGCACTAACTGACCCCTGAGTTAGACAGCTGGTGGGCCGTGACCACTATTTATCTATCTGTTCCTAACTCTCTCATTGTTACTGGCATACCCTCTTATGGTCTATGGCCAACATCTGTATCATGAATAATTTCAACAGAACTCTGCCGAGGGACCTCCAGACTGATATGAGAGACAGAGGAGTATTCTGCTCATTGAAAACGAACAACCACAAAGGAAACGTTAGAGGAGAAAACCCTAATGTATTTATTTTTACATCATATTTACTCCTTTTTGCCTATTTCCAGCCCCTTCCTCCCTAAAAGAGATGTCCAGCCTGAAATGCCATCCATAAGTGGATTTGTAAATGTTGCTTCTACACAACCAAGCAGTGAGCAGATGCATGCTGTTAAGCTTTATGACAAAGTGCTCTAAGGTTGGAGGGATACTGGTGCAGAAATTTCTGTGGTCAGGAGGGACCTGATCTGTGAGAAGGATTTGTTACCAGGAAAAATGGCAGAATTAAAATTGGGGGGAGGTTACAAAGTCCTTGCACCTTTAGTTAAGGTACACATGGAAACTGGTGATTTGCAGGCTGAACTGACTGTCGCAGCAGTGGCACACAATTTTGCACTGTTTCTACTGGAGAATGGCTTTTTAGATGTGGCAGAATCTGTCCCAGGATTTGTTAGTAGCAAGAAGGAATCTTGTGATGAAAGCCTCAGAGGGGAGGGTGAAGTCACATGTGCTGCTGGGGAAATAGGAGAGTGTCTCTTTAATTACTGTGTAGCAGTCGAAAATGGGCCGTTGGGGGCAGGGATGGTTGAGGCCAGTTTCTGTAGCCCCAGGGCAGGTCCCTGAGGGAGGGGGTGGATAGAGCCAGCTCCTGCCCTGTGATCATCTCCCTGGGCGGGGCGGATAATCCACCTTGTAACGGGGAGACCTTCCCAGCTGCTGACTGCCAGGAAGTGGCAGGTCAGCAGGGGACAGGCCCTACTCTGGGGTGCACAGAGACATGTATCCCGGAGATGGAAGTTGGGGTCCTGACTAATGAACAGTGGAGTAGTATTATATAGAAGCCAGGTTCTCCAGCTTTCACTTCCTCCCTTTGTTAATCTGCTGACCACTGTTGTTTCCCTTACATAGCCTTGCAGATCTCTAGGCAACATGTTTCAGCCCAGCCTCTGGGAGTGGGGGAATAGTGCACAAGTAAAACATAGTATAAAATCCACTCATCCAGTGCAGCTGTGTGAAGATAACTGAACCAGAACACAGATTTTGTCAATCACTAGACAGATGAAGGAGAACGATCAAAGTCCATTGCTGTGTGTGTTGGTCGGGATCTGAACTGTGATCAACGTGCTCCCTTAAAGGGCAGCTGTTGTAGGAGCAGCAGTGATCTGTATGCTCTGTATAACCTGTATGTTCAAGAGGTCTGTTACACCCAGGGCCGGCTCCAGCGTTTTTGCTGCCCCAAGCGGCGGGGGAAAAAAAAAAAAAAAAGGGCCGCGATCGGCGGGACTTCGGCGGCAGTTCTACCACCGCTGCTTCATTCTTCGGCGTCAATTCGGCGTCAGGGCCTTTCCTCCGAGAGGGACTGAGGGACCCGCTGCCGAATTACCGCCGAAGAGCCGGACGTGCCGCCCCTTACCGTTGGCCGCTCCAAGCACCTGCTTGCTGCACTGGTGCCTGGAGCCAGCCTGGTTACACCTCTCCTCTCCCTCCCTGAATACCTGTGAAGTGGCTTTCCCCCTTCCCTTCCCTCCTGGAATGCTTGTGGGATGAATGAGCTGCTTGAGCAGCTGGAAGATCAGAAGAGCTCCCAGGTAGACATGGTGTCTGGCACTCTGATTAGGCAGCGCTCACACACCCAATGCATGGACACTATCCGAGATGGAGTGTGAACAACCGGGCGCAGCCAAGTCATCTCTAGTCGCAGGCCATGAGGAGCAGGTCCTTAAAAGGGGAAGGGGCCATGTGCTCGGGAGTGCACTCACAAGCTTGTACCTCCCATGAAAGCCCTTTGCCTGGACCGCCTGGCCAGTGGTTCGCCGCATTGCATTCCATCGTGCCTTGGGAAGACTTACCTTCATCGCACCGTCCATCGCTGTGCTGTGGGACACTTACCTTCTGCAAACTCTGGTGGGTCATTAGTTCTCCCTAAGCTTACTAGCTGCAGGGCCGGATTAACTTTTTGTGGGCCCGGCGCCAAACATATTTGTGGGCCCCCATTGGCGAAATAGGGCATGTGATGGGGAGTGGTCCGCAGAGCGAGGGGCTGGTTGGAGGCAATGAGACGCAGCGCGGCAGGAGTGGCCCCACTCAGCCCAGCACAAGGGCACCGTTTACAAACCCCAAACTGCTAGATGCACACTGGCCCACCCAGCCCTGCGCTGCTAGCGTGCCCCTTCCACACTGCCCCCCTGCCCAGTGCCCTGCCCTTATGCCAGCACCCCCTCACCCAGAGACTTCCCCCACAGATCCCTATGCCCAGCACCCCCTGCCTAGAGACTCCTCCCGCTGACCTCCCACCACAACTACACAGCACCCTGCATACCATACCCCCTGCCCAGCTCCCCCACCCACAGATCCCCTACTGTCCAGCACCCCCTTCACAGTCCCACCATCACAGCTGTACAGTGCCCCATATTCCTGAGGGAATTCTGCATGAAATTCTGTACATAATATTTTAAAATTCTGATTTTTTTTTATTTTATAATAAATGTGGAAGCTCCACCATGGCAGTGGGGAGCACAGGCCACTGGCTGCATGGAGGTGGGAGAATACCCTGCAGCCTCCCCCGCCCCCCTGGAACAGGGACTTGGCAGTGAGACTGAACCTGACCCTGACACAGCACAAGGGCCATGCCTGTCACAGAAACATCCTGGGGCCCTGCCCCTTTTGCGCCAGGCACACCAGATGTGGGCAGGGAGGCTCAGCCCGGCAGCAGGATCCAAGTGCAGAGGGACTTAGTGTGGGGGGATCCAGATGGGGGTAAGAGGGTTCTGTGTGGGGCAGTCTGGGTGCAGGCAGCTCAGTGGGGGATCTGGATGCACAGGGAAGTGCCAGGCGCAGGGGCAATGGTAGTCTGCAGGGGAGACCAAGTGAAAGTGGTTGGAGCTCAGCTGTCTGGAGGTGCTTGCCTTCCACGCCTTGCTCATTCACACCTAATTCATTCAACATGCCAATTGATTAAGGGAGTGTGGGGAGGGGGAATCTTATTCTACTCCTAGCAAAAAGACATTTTTCTTCTACTTTAACTATCCTTAGGGGCTATAACATTATACCAAGGCTTAACACAAAGTTTTCTATAAGTTTTTCTACATAGGGATCTGATACAAAGTTCCTATATCAAAGGACTTGATACAAAGTTGTATGAAAATAGCTTAATACAGGGTTATATGAAGAGTCATATGAAATATAAAGTCATATGAAAGTTAGAGGTTATATATGGATAGGCTTAATACAAGGTTATATAGAGAGGCATAATACAAAGTCATACGAAAGTTATGTGAAGATGCTTAATATAGAGATTTATCTACAGGGCTCATTTGGGTGGGGGTTTAGGTGGTTGGGGCTCAGTGGGGAGGGTGTCTGGGGGGGCTCATCGGGGTGGTACAGATGCAGGGGAGGTGGGGCTTGTCAGGGTGAGGGTTTGATGGGCCTGCTTAACAGGGGAGCCCCAGCTGCTGCCAAGGGGATCCACATGCTGGGCCCCCGTTTCCCCATCCCAGGAATTGGTAATCTTCGGCACGTGGCCCACCAGGGTAAGCCCCCGGTGGGCTAGACTGGTTTGTTTACTTGCCATGTCCACAGGTTCGGCCGATTGCGGCTCCCACTGGCCGTGGTTTGCCGCTCCAGGCCAATGGGGGCTGCGAGAAGCCGCTGGCAGCACATCCCTCGTCCTGCAGCCCCCCATTTGCCTGGAGCCGCGATCGGCCAAACCTGCGGAAGCGGCAGGTAAACAAACTGGCCCGGCCCACCAGGGGAATCACAGACCCTCCCCTCACTCTGTGTGTGTGTGTATACGGGGGGAGGTCACAGGCATGTAGGATGACCAGACAGCAAGTGTGAAAAATCGGGACAGGGGGTGGAGGGTAATAGGAGCGATGTCACAGGGAGCGGGGGAAGAACAGTCAGCGCAAAGCGGCCACCATCTTGGCACCTACAGTCTGCAGCGGAGGGAGGCTCCGCCCAACCCATCCCGCCCCCCCATCTCCTCCTCTTCCCCCAACCCTCCCTCCTCCTCGGACCCCCGCTCAACCGCCAGGGCGCCCGGGACCTCCCCGCCATCCTCCAGCAGCAGCGGCACCAGCTTGCGGAGGTGCTTCTGCAGCACCGAGACATCGGCCCCATTCTGCACCGCCGAGCCCGGCACCTCCAGGCCGCCCTCCTCGCCGCCCCCGCCAGGACCTCCGCCGCCCGCGTCCGACATCCCGAGACAGCCCAGAACCTGCTCCTGCTGCTGAGCCACCGCCTAGTACTGCTGAGCCCGCCGCACCCACCGCACCGCCCTGTAACCACCTCCCGCTGCGGGGCGGCCTGGGAAGTGTAGTCCACACAGCCCGGATCCGCGAGACAGAGCCGAAGAGAATGACTACAAATCCCAGCATGCACATTGGAACGGGGTGGGGGGTGACTCTGCGACCTAGAGCATCCTGGGAGCTGTCATTCACTGACGTCACAAACCTGACGAGGAAAGGCGACCAACAAATGCGACCAATCCCACTTTGCCTTGAGCGGGTAGATCCGTGACGGCGCGGACCACATGCAGGCTGGGGAATGTAGTTCCTACCGCCTAACCCGCTCATCGCAACACCAAAAGGGAAAACTCTAAGTTCCACAATGCACCGGGACAGAACCTGCCTTCGCAAGTGTCTCCTGGGAGCTGAAGTTCACTGGGGGCAAGGCCGGTCCCGCGGCAGGCGAGAGAAATGACTAGGAGCCGCAGGCTGCCTGGCTCAGCCGTTTGTCCTCGCTGGCCCCATTTCGGGTAACAGCAGCAAGGAGAAGAAGAGAACTCAGGCAAGATGGGGGCAGGGGTGGAGAAGGAGTAAGGGGGGAAAAAACAATTACTTGTTAAGTTGCTCGAAATGAGGCAAAAAACAGCTCTGGTCTTTTCAAACTTATACCCTGACCTCTTACCCCAGAGAGAAGCAAGGTGGGGGCTGCCTTATCTGCAATGCACAAATATTTCACAGAAATTAGATTGTTGTCTAAGAGGCATTTTTTTCTGTGAAATGTACAGAGTGGAAATCATAAAGCATCTATTTTTTCCTAGGCTAGTGAATGTTAACGGGTTAAATGAGTCCTGTCATGCAGTCCCGGGCTACAGTGGGACCCTTTTAAAAACTGCTTCACTCTTGGCAGGAGGTAAGGTCATGATGGCATCTGTATAATCTAAAATCCCCGCCCTGTAGTCACGAGTTTAAAGCTCTACAGTACTAAGTTCATAACTGACTTACCATTAACACTGCTGCTGTGCAGTCTGCCAGCAGAGGGAACCCACACTAACAAACGGTTCCGGGCTGTGCTGACTTCTGGAAAGATCCAGATCTTGTGATAGGGAGATAACAGTATTCCCTTGAGAGGGACGGGGGGAGAGGGAGAACACTTTTTTTTGCTGTTTCCTAGCTGGAAAAGGGGTAGGGACAGAAGTGTTACTTAAACAATGAGGAGACCTTAGAGACTAACAAATTTATTTGGGCATAGGCTTTCATGGGCTAAAACCCACTTCATCAGATGCGTGGAGTGAAAAATACAGTAAGCAGTATAAATATTACAGCACATGAAAAGATGGGTGTTGCCTTATCTAGTGTGTGTGGGGGTCAATGCTAACGAGGCCAGTTCAATCAAGGTGGAAGTGGCCTGTTCTCAACAGTTGACAAGAAGGGGTGAATATCAACAGAGGGAAAGTTACTTTTTGTAGTGCTAATGAGGTCAATTCAATCAAGGTGGCTGTTGCCCATTCCCAACAGTTGACAAGAAGGTGTGAGTATCAACAGAGAGAAAGTTACTTTTTGCAGTTACCCAGCCACTCCCAGTCTTTATTTGGGCCTAATTTGATGATGTCCAGTTCTGCAGGTTCTTGTTGAAGTCTGTCTTTTGAAGGGTTTTTTTGTTGAAGAATGGCCACTTTTAAGTCTGTCATTGAGTGTCCAGGGAGACTGAAGTGCTCTCCTACTGGTTTTTGAATGTTACAATTCTTGATGTCTGATTTGTGTCCATTTATACTGCTTACTGTATTTTTCACTCCATGCAGATGATGAAGTGGGTTTTAGCCCACGAAAGCTTATGCCCAAATACATCTGTTTGTAAGGTGTCACCGGACTCCTCCTTGTTGTTTTTGTGCATATAGACTAACACGGCTACCTCCTGATACTTGACTTCTTAGTTTAATTACAGTGAGAACCAGCCCAGGCAGTTTTGTTTCCATGCGGGTTGCGAGGGTGGAATCACGTCAGGAAAGTGTCTCTCTGGCAGCAGCCTGTGCCTTGGGGAGGGCACAGCCTAAATCTGCAACACAAACAGCCCCCGCCCGGTGGGTGGATGGGGCACCCTAGCTACAGGGGCGCAGCGCTCGCCACGGAGTGAGAGGGGCGGGCTCTGCTTGCAGGGCAGCCGCGCTATTGCACTGGGCTGAAGTCCCCGGGAGTAACTCGCGCCCCTGCGCTGCAGCGCGGATCCCCACCCAGAGCGCGGGGAGTGCAGCAGGCAGGGGAGATCTGCAGCCGCATTTCCCGGGGTGCCGTTGCGATCGTCCAGCCCTCTGACGCGTTAGTGTTTTTCAGTCGCTATCCAATGGGGAGAGGGCAAGGCGGAGCCCGGTGTAACTCAGGTTTCTAGCTGGGGAGGAGGGCGGTGCTTGGAAAATCTGCGGTCCTGTAATGCTCTCGTGTGCATAGCGAGCTCCGAAGAAACGCGGGCAGCCGCACAAGCAGGCCCTGTGGATGGCGTCTGGGCTTCCCAAGGCAGCCTCTCAGCATCACTAGAGAAGGCACGAGAGCTGGAGGCGCCCCCAGGGGCCCAGCCCTTTGCTAGCAGCTGGCCTAAGGCCCTTCCTTGGTGTAAGCGGGTTGGAGGGAGGCCGGACGAGTCCGGAGATGTGTGTTTGCTCCTACCGGGAGCAGCTTGTCTTCCGCACCAGATCTGTGGGGGCAAAAGGGACGGGGCAAACCAGCCTTTCTGGTGATGCACATTTGCCAGCTTTCACTTCCCCCTGGTCTCACTCTCTGATGCTGGTGAGTTTTGCTGTGTGTTTTCAGCAGTGAGACATTTCAGAGCTCAGTCTGATCCTGGCCGCGTTATGGGAAGGTCACTCCTTGCCTGGCTCCACAAGGCTAGAACTGATCTCGGGCAGGCCTGAGGTCGAGCCATGTTATTACCAGTGGGAAGTGGTGTCAATTTCCCTAGCGTAGGCGAGGCTTTAAGCAAAAGCTGTTACCCAGAGTCCAGCTTTTTATGCACCTTTCCCTTATCCCTGCTGCCATCTGAGGCCCAGGAGGCCGCCAGGGTGAAGAGATCATTGGGGGCCAGGTGGTAGCATCCACTGCTGAGGCATTAGCAGCAGAGTCCAAGCAGAACATCTCCTTGAGCCCGCCGCTCCTCTGTCCAGTATCCCCAGGCCTGACAACCCAAGTTCCTTGCTCTGTGGGAGCCTGCTTACAGAACCAGGGGCCCAGTGGCAAGACAGAAACAAGGCACAAAAGCAGGGAGCAGGAGCCAGTTCCGTACTCAGTTGAATTCAAGACTTTTTAAAACATGCTTTGGTGGAGTTTTTGCCAAGACAGTGGGGCACAGCCTGCTGCAGGAGGGTTTGTACTCGAGGTACAGGTGCATCCTCTGTTGGGTGTATAAGGAACACATGGTGAACGCTGGTTCAGGTGAATCCAAACCTTTGTTCTCATAAGGTTCTTAACCCATCCAGTGTAGGCCATGTTTGGGTTAGTTTTTTCCTCCCTGTAGTAATGTGTGCACCTGTAAAGCAGTCCATCTTTAACAAGCCCTTATGTGAACAAAAATGTTTCATGAAATTATTTTGAATGAAAACATTTGAGGGCAGGGGGAGGATATAAATCTTCTCCCGGAAGAGTTGTGAGCCTAATCACAGCCACAATTGATTAGTGCCCAGGGACTGGAAAAATCTGATGAGGGGAGGCAACGTGGTCTGAGTGCAGGAATTGCATTCAGGAGCTTCTGATCCTGATTAGGTTCATGGCCTGGGGCTCGTCGCTTCACCTGTCTGATTAAGCGACAAGGGTGAGGAGTAATTAGAAAGGCCCTACCAAATTCATGCATCACAGACCGTGAAATCTGATCTCACCCATAAAATCTGGCTAGTGTATGAGGGAGGGGCAGGGCTGGGGGCACTTACTGTGCACTGGTCTCCAGATGCTAGTCCTGGACGGGCTGGAAGGGAGGGGGCTTCCTCTTCCCCTGCAAAGGCTGCTTCCAGGGCCTGGTCAGACGCATATCTGGAAACCTCCCCCAGCTGCAGGTATCTCCATGGCTGCTGGTTGGGAGCCCAGCTCTGAAGGCAGTGCCACCACTAGCAACAGCACAGCAGTGAGGGTGGCAATACCGTGACCTCTGCCCCCCCCAACATTAGCCTTGCGACTCCGCCATGACCTCTGTTTGGTTCGGGACCCCTGTGGTTACTACACTGTGAAATTTCCGATTTAAATATCTGAAACCATGAAATTTACGATTGTAAAAATTTTATGACCATGAAATTGACCAAAATGGACCCTGAATTTGGTAGGGCCCTAGAAATTAGTTGCTGTTCGTGCACAGTTAAACACCAATTCTTCTGGTCAAGATGAGGGAACTGCAATAAGTAACTGGCAATGGCTAAACATAAACCAGATCTTCTAAAAATGCTTTCCTAGGTGGTGAGAGAACCCAAGTTTGTTTGCAATTAGGGCTGTCAAGCAATTAAAAAAATTAATCGTGATTAATTGCAGTGTTAATAATAGAATATCATTTATTTAAATATTTTTGGATGTTTTCTACATTTTCAAATGTACTGATTTCAATTACAACCCAGAATACAAAGTGTACAGTGCTCACTTTATATTTATTTTTGATGACAAATATTTGCACTGTAAAAAAAAAAGAAGAAATAGTATTCCAATTCACTTAATACAAGTACTGTAGTGCAATTGCTTTATAATGAAAGTTGAACTTACAAATGTAGAATTATTTACAAAAAATAACTATTCAAAAATAAAACAACGTAACACTTTAGAACCTACAAGTCCACTCAGTCCTATTTCAGCCAATCACTCAGACAAACAAGTTTGGTTACAATTTGCAGGAGATAATGCTGCGTACATCTTGTTTACAATGTCACCTGAAAGTGAATACAGGCCTTCTCATGGCACTGTTGTAGCCGGCATCGCAAGATATTTACGTGCCAGATGCGCTAAAGATTCGCATGTCCCTTCATGCTTCAACCACCATTCCAGAAGACATACGTCCATGCTGATGACAGGTTCTGCTTGATAACAATCCAAAGCAGAGCGGACAGACGCATGTTCATTTTCATTATCTGAGTTAGATGCCACTAGCAGAAGGTTGATTTTCTTTTTTGGTGGTTCGGGTTCTGTAGTTTCCGCATCGGAGTGTTGCTCTTTTAAGACTTCTGAAAGCATCCTCCACACCTCATCCCTCTCAGATTTTGGAAGGCACTTCAGATTCTTAAACCTTGGGTTGAGTGCTTTAGCTATCCTTAGAAATCTCACATTGGTACCTTCTTTGCGTTTTGTCAAATCTGCTGTGAAAGTGTTCTTAAAATGAACGTGTGCTGGGTCATCATCCAAGACTGTTATAACATGAAATATATGGCAGAATGCAGGTAAAACAGAACAGGAGAAATACAATTCTCCCCCAAGGAGTTCAGTCACAAATTTAACGCATTATTTTTTTAACGAGCATCATCAGCATGGAAGCATGTCCTCTGGAATGGTGGCCGAAGCATGAAGGGACATATGAATGTTTAGCTTATGTGGCACATAAATACCTTGCAACACCGGCTACAAAAGTGCCATGCATTCGCCTGTTCTCACTTTCAGGTGACATTGTAAATAAGAAGCAGTCAGCAGCATCTCCTGTAAATGTAAACAAACTTGTTTGTCTTAGCAACTGGCTGAACAAAAAGTAGGACTGAATGGACTTGTAGGCTCGAAAGTTTTACATTGTTTTGTTTTTGAGTGCAGTTATGAGACAAAAAAAAATCTACATTTGTAAGTTACACTTTCACGATAAAGAGATTGCACTACAGTACTTGTATGAGGTGAATTGAAAAATACTATTTCTTTTGTTTATCAGTTTTACAGTGCAAATATTTGCAATAAAAAATAATATAAAGTGAGTATGTACTGTATTCTGTGTTGTAATAGAAATCAATATATTTGAAAATGTAGCAAAACATCAAAAAAATAATAAATTTCAATTAGTCTTCTATTGTTTAACAGTGTGATTAATCGCAATTAATGCTTTTAATTGCAGTTAATTTTTTTTGAGTTAATCACGTGAGTTAACTGATTAATTGACAGCCCTATATGAAATATATATTTATTTTGGCAGTGTCCCTTTAAGACATTAACGGGGACCTATGCACATTCCTTGATGCATTAGCCGTGGATTAATGAATGCTTCTATTTGGGGCAGGGATTGTGCATAGGACAGCACCAGACAATCAGGCACATTGGTGAATTCTGAACTGTGTGAATGGCTGAGTCTTGACTTTGTGTCGGTTCCTTTTTTAAGTGCAAAGAGATGGAGAGTGCTGTGTGGAAGGCAAAGAAGAGGGTCCTCCCGCCATGGATGGCAGCAAGGGAAGTGAAGCCAAGAAAGACTATGTCAGCAGTGAGAGCCAAGAGGGCGAAGAAGCCAGCTGTGGCAAGGTAAGCGCTTTGTGCAGCTGTGCCACCTGGGGCTGCAAGCGCATTGGCTCCTGTGTGCAAAGCACCATTGGGCCTGGTCAGCGCTTGGCTAGGAAACCTCCAAGGAGAAGGGAGGGTATCACACAAAAGTGGAGTTGGAGGCTCAGTCAGGGTGTTCTTCCCTGTGTCAGAGCTGCAGGGAGCGCTGTGCGGGCAGAGCTGCCGTCTCTCAGGAGAGACGGAAAACACAGAGCTGTTTGCCTAGATCTAAAAATTTTATTAAAGTTAATGTTTAAAATCAAATTTACATAAGTTAAGAGGGAAGGGACTGTACATCTGGGGTCGGGCTTGGGTTATGGGGGATTGCGAGTATCGGTTACAAGGTTCACGAGGTACATACATATCAAATAACCAGCATATATCCAGATTGGGGTGTGGGAGTTTTTAAAGCGTCAGTGGATAAGTGGGCTCGGGTACGCCACCCATGGAATGTATTAAGAGTCCAAGTCAATATTGGTGTAGAGAATAAGTACATGGGTGGGGTGCGTCCCTTGGTTCGTCAGGGAAGGAAGTGGGTTATTTCCCTGGTCGGCGATCTCGGTTACTCAACCTGGTACTGGCGGTGTCCCGTGATGTGTTCCGTGTAGATGTCTCTGGACCACCTCATGGTGTCAGACACCATGAGCTGTCTCATGAGCCGGGCGTAGCGTCGATCGACTCCGCACGCTCTCAGTACCGGCTCATTGTGGGGGGTCCCATGCACCCAGGGCTCCCACGACCAGGGCGTGTATCTGGACCTCATAACCCTGGGCTCTCAGGGTGTCGGCCAGCGGGGTGTACTTCAGCACCTTCCGTGCTCGGGCCTCATGGAAGGCTGGTGACCTGTTTTCAAATGGCACCATGACATCTACCATGAGGACCGTCTTCTTTTCCGCGTCGGTCACGACGATGTTGGGTCGCAGTCGGCTGTCTGTCCCGGGGATGGTGGAGTCGACGGTGATCTTCCCCAGGGATGGCGTTCACCAGCCGGTTCTGGCTATTACACTCTTCACAAAAGCTGGAGCCGTAGTTGAATCCCTTGTTGGGTATTTACCTTCTCTCTGAGCTATGTTATTCTTCACTTCCCTCCCTCTTGTGCAGCGTTCCTGGTACTCGATCCCTGCTGCTGGATTTGTACAGGAGCCCTGTTCCCCCAGCCTGTACGGTGCTTTGCAATCCTGCAGGGATAACTGTTGTGTTTAGAAGTGTAAGGGATTATGATGGTTATGAAAATATACAGAAAGGAATGATCCAGAAGGGTTCTGATTTCTGCTCTGAGCTGATGTACATCAGGAATAACTCCACCCAAATCATCAGATTTATACTGGTGTAAAAGTGGTGTGAGAGGACAACCAGGCTCCAGCTTCTGACTTCCTGCTATTGAAAAACAGGAACTTGCAGAAACAAAGGCAAACATTACAATGACCCAGGGTGCAGACATTCCTTACTCCGGGGGGAATTCTATGCCAAAAAAAAAATTACGAATTCTGCACACAATATTTTAAAATCTGCATATTTTATTTGTCAAAATAACACTATGCAATCATGCCAGTTTCAATTATATTTGAAACCCCATCAACAACCCAGTTCCTATTTCTCTGCCCCCTCTCCGCAGAGCCCAGCAGGGGGGCCAGACACCCACAACCCCTCCCCCCAGAGCCCAGCTGCGGGGGGCCCCAGCCCAGACACCGGCACCCCCTCCCCCACAGAGCCCAGGGATCCAGAGGGAAAAACAGCCTGATGCTGGGTCCTGAGGGGCTTGTATGGAGTTTCCTGCATGCTGCCTCCTTCCTTCAGGACATGCCGGCAACTGCAGCTGCCAGGAACCCTCCAGTTCCCCCCCCTCCTTGCTCCCTGACCCCTATCTACCCCCCGCCCTCTGACAGACCCTGGGACTTCTATGCTCCATCCAACCCCCCCTTCTCCCTGATTGCCCCCTCCAGAGACCCCCCGCCCCTAACACCCCCGCCCGGGATCCCACCCCCATCCAACCCACCCTGCTTTCTGTACCCTGACTCCCCCCACCCCTTATCCAACCCCCCTGACCCCGGACTCCTTACCATGGCATGAGATGAGGCTTCTAGCCTCCCCGCGGAGCCAAACGCTGCCCTGCGGGAGCGCGCACAGCCCTGGCCCCCAGAACACTGCACACGGGGCAGCATGGCTCCAGGAGAGGGGGGAGGTAACTGCCTCCCCGTGGAGCCAAACCCTGCCCCACGGGAGCGTGCAGCCCCGGCCCCCAGAGCTCTGCGCACGCGGCGACAGGACTCATGGGGAAGGAGAAAGGCGGGGGAGGGGCCGGCAGCTTGCTGCGCTCAGCCGGGGAGCGCAGACCCCGCGGCTTGCCACGCCTGGAGAGGGGGGCCATTTGCCCACCCCTGCATTAGGGTGTGCCCGGGCACACCCGGCACACCCCGTGCGCATGCCTATGCCAAAACCATTAATTTCTGCACAAATTCTGCAATGTTCAGTGGTGCAGAATTCCCCCATGAGTACATTCCTCTGCTGTTTCCTGTGCTGATTGTGTTTCCACCGGGGCAGCATTCACATTTCTGCCCATGACAGTGTTCCCCATCTGATCCCTGCTTTTGTTTTCTCTTCTGATCTTCTCTTGACCTGCTCAGGACCGTGACTATCTATTGTATGAACGAAGCGGAGCTGGTGGATGTGGCATTGGGGGTCCTGGCTGAGGTGAGCAGTGAGGCCTGCTGGTCCATCTTCCTGTCAATTCAGCAGTTTCCTAACATGTCCCTATCCTGATGCTTTTGCCCAGGCTAATTTAAAATGGCTGGCTTCCACCACTTCCCTTGGGGAAATTCCACTGTAGGGAGGCTAAATGGAAGTTTTCTCCTTTGTAACCAGCCGCCTCCATTTCAGTGATGCCGTGGTCCAGCATGTGTAATATTGTATCACGCCCCCCTGGAAGCGTTGTGATGTAAGCAACAACAGTGAATGGGTCAGGCAGGAGGAGGGAATGGGTGACTTGGAGGTTGAAGCAAAGACTTGGGAAGTCTGCATGCTCTTTCATGCTCTGTCACACACTCCTGCATGACCTTGGGCAAGCCACTTAACCCCCTCTTCCCTCTGAGCACTAAAGACCCCATTACACTCTCTTTGAAGGTGCACAGGTGTTAACTGCAGCGTCCTCACCAAACTGTAGCTTGGGTAACTGTCCAAAATTCTCCTGCAGCTTCAGTGGTGAAGAGCGGTGTTCTTCACGGCCTAAGCCGGCGTGTTGTGTGCTGTTAAGTGGGGTGGGATGCAGCAGCTGTTGATCAGCCTTCCGTTGATTGGGGCCCTGGTGCCGGTGGGGATGGGTGTTTCTCCCTCTGGCTTGGGACACGCTTGGGACGAAACGCTTTATGGACACGTACGGTTTGTTTCTGTGCCAGAATTGTAAATACAAGGAAATGGAGGGGAACGTTCCATCTGAAACCGAAGGGGAGCAGGAAGGCCAGCAAACGCCGACGGAGCCTCAATGGAGTCCAGCAAGCAGTGGCGGGGCCAGCACCCCCAGGCCGGGCCCCGGGCCCCACGCTCAGCCAGATGCTTTGGGCTGTGCTAGCAGGACAGACACGGAGGACGACGAGGATGATGCTTTGAAATACGTCCGGGAGATATTTTTTAGCTAACATCTCGCAGGGTTTTTTTAAGCAGAGAAAAAATAATGCCAAGGGAACCATAGTGTGGGGGGAAGGGTGGGGCAGACCCAGAGGCTGGCTCCAGTGGGTGGGGGTACGGCAGTGTGGGGCTGTACGGGTGCCCCCTATATCCTCCCAATTCAAAGGAAGCCCGGAGCAGTGGTGTGGATGGGGCCCCAGGAGAAGGGAGCAGGAGAGAATGTCGGAGAGGAGCTTGCCCTTGCTCTGCCATGAGCTGCATGGCCAATGTCTCGTTCAAGTACAGTCCTTGCCCAGCGTGTCTGAGCCTTGGGGATAGCCTCTCACCTACCCCTAACACTCCCCCATTCATAGCCTCTTCCATGTGAGCCACGGGTCCCCTCCTCCCCAGGCCAGCTCCCCAGCTGATACTAAGTGGCCTCCTGATTGTCAGTCTCTGCCCAGAAGTCATGGAGACTGAACTCCCCTCCCAGCTCGGGTGGAGCTCGGCAGGGCAGGGCAGGGCAAGCACTTGAAGGTGAGGGGAGACTTGCTGTGCAGCAACCTGTGATCTGTGAGTAAACAGTTTGTTCTGCAGGGCTGTCACTGGGGCACCTTTTATCAGTATTATATTAACTTCGAAAGGTTATTAAAATATTTAATGTCTCTTTTAAAAACAAGCATCCGTGTGCTCTGACTGCACCATAGGCCACCCTGTGCTGTCTCCTCCCCCTCCTGTTAGCGTGATATTTACCTGATCTGTCAATGGACTTTCATTGTCTCAGCTTGATGACCAGGCAAGCCAGAGAAGCAAACTGGATCCATTGTCTAGGGCAGACCTGTTCACAAGCTCCCCCTGCCATGCCCGGTTTAAATGCACTTTAGTCATAATTTCTGCATCTACCCACAACTCTTAATACCCACTGTGTATCTACCTCATGCAGGAATAGTAGTGAGCAGTGAGTTGTTAGTTTGCAAACGATCGCTCACAAGGCATATTGTGTACAAAGATTATTGCAATGGTGCGAATACAGGGGGCTTTGAATCATGCGTGTTACTCAACCAGAGAGCAGATATGGCACCAGCTGAACATGTTCTACAACATTCCACCACCGTGCTCCAGCTCTACACTAGTCAGTCCTTGTCCTGAGCCTACCAGACAGCGGGGAGAGGCCCAGTGGCACTTTCTGCCCTGTGGACAACTGGGACCTACATACTGTGGTGATGCCACTATCTCATTTGCCATGAACAAGTAGTGGGTGGTGATAGTTAGCTCTGGTCCACACCTGTAGAGACTAAATCTATGCTACCGGGATGGCTCAGCACCTGTTTCCCAACTGTCTGAGCTGCGTTTTCTGCCATGTTAACATATAAAATATGAGCATCTAATTTGAAATATTTTGCAGGCAGGTTTGAATGCACACTGCTGTGCTGGAAAAAGGTTTTCCACTGTCATCGTTTTGGCCTTCTCTTTTTCAGTCTCCTGACTAAGATCAAAGATAGTAGCACATCTTTTACTGGGGACCAGATTACGCACGCAGCAGATGAAATTACCTATTACTGCCTCCCGCCCCCCCCCCCGACCCCCGCCCCCCCCCCCCCCCCCCCTCCCTACCCCCCCCCCTGGGATCCCTGCCCCCATTCAACCCCCCTGTTCCCTACCCTCTGATCGCCCTGACCCCTATCCACACCCCTGACCACCCCCCTGAACTCTATCCAACCCTCCCTTCTCCCTGCCCCCTTACCGCGCTGCCTGGAGCAGCGGTGGCTGGCGGCGCTACAGCCGCAGCGCCCGTCTGGAGCCAGCCACATGCCACGCAGCACAGTGCACCGGGCTCTGCAGCTGCGCTGCCCCCAGGAGCTCGCAGCTCCGCCGCCCAGAGCATTGTGCTGGCGGCACAGTGAGCTGAGGCTGTGGGGGAGGGGCAACAGCAGGGGAGGGGCCGGGGGCTAGCCTCCCAGGGCAGGTGCTCAGGGACCGGGCAGGAGGGTCCCGTGGGCCGGATGTGGCCCGCAGGCCATAGTTTGCCCACTTCTGTGTCTGATTCATTTAAAATAATGTCTTTGTTTCAATGAGTTAAATATGTAGTAATCTGGAATGATTACTTTATGAAGGCTTAAGAGTACATTTAAAATATAAAATCAGCTTAGAAATACTAATTAAGAAAATGTAAAACAGAGAAGTGCTGCATTATGTGTTCCAGGGGTCAGCAACTTATGGCACGTATGCCAAAGGCAGCACGCGAGCTGATTTTCAGTGGCACTCTGCTGCTGGCCTGGGGTCCGGGCCGCCGGCCCTGCTCAGCCCACTGCCGGCCTGTGATACCGGCTGCCGGCCTGGGGCTCTGCTCCTGGCCTCAGCCCAGCGCTCTGCAGCCGCCCCCAGCTGTGGCCAACTGGCCCCAGCCTGGGGCAGTGAGGGGTGCAGACAGGGGCAAGAGGGGGCAAAGCTCAGCACCCCCACCTTAAAAATTGTTCCAGCACCACTGGGATATTTTTAAGTCCTGGTTTGCTGCTTATATCAGGCCATGTGGAACAGCGCACTGCGTTTGACATTGTGCGTGCCCTCTGTCACCATTTTTTCCCCCACTGTGAGTTGAGGGGTACATTTGACAAAATGTCAGCTCCTAAGAAAGCAAAGTTAGATGTTCATTCATTTCAGCCTTCTTGGAAAGACACATTTGGATTTATTCAAAAGAAGGACTGTGCTGTTTGTGCTTTCTGTTGTGAAAGTGTTGTTTGTCGCACATCAAGTGTTCGATAACATTTTGAAACGAAGCACGAGAGAACCTTTCTTGATGAAGCAGACAAGACTGAATCGATCAAAAACGCAGTAGCAGGATATGAGAAGCAAAGCAGTGTTTTTAAATGTTTAAATGTAAGTAAAAATCAAGCTACAGGAGGAAGTTACAAGATTGCACAGTGCATTGCAAAAAATGGAAAGCCATTTACAGATGGGGAATATATAAAAGAAGTTTTTCTCAGTAGTTCGGCGGTTTTGTTCAATGATTTGCCAAATAAAGATACGATCATATCTAGAATAAAAGAACTTCCTGTCTCTGCTAGAACAGTTGAGAGACGCATAAACAAAATGGCAGAAAACATTAATGAAAAGAAGACAACAGCATTAAAAGACACAGCAGTGGTTAGCGTTTCAGTTGATGAGAGCGTGGATATAAACGACATTCCACGTTTGGCAATTGTTGCAAGATATTGTGCTTCCGATGAAATCCAAGAGGAACTTTGTTGCCTAAAACCCCTGCATGGCACAACAAAGGGGGAAGTTATAGCGGAAAGTTTTGTAAGCCATTTTGAAGAATGAGGAGTTGACATCAGAAAAATATTTTATGTGACAACAGATGGTGCTCCTACCATGGTCGGAACACAGAAGGGATTTGTAAAGTTACTTGAAGATCAAATTGGCCGCCCAACAGTCAAATTTCACTGTATCATCCATCAAGAAAACCTGTGTGCTAAAATTTCTAATTCAGAGCTTAATAATGTGATGAACACAGTGGTGCGAATTGTGAATTTCCTTGTTGCTCAATCTGCTTTGACTCACAGACACTTTCAAGCACTGCTAGAAGAGATGGACAGTGCTTATAATGACATTCCACTTCACAGCAACATTCGGTGGCTAAGTCGTGGCAAGGTTTTGATGCCCTTTGTAAACTATTTTGATGGAATCAAGGCCTTTTTGTTGGAAAAAGGACAAAACTACCCCGAACTGGATGATGACAAATGGCTGTGTAAGCCCATATTTCTAACTGACATCACCGCTCACCTAAACGAACTCAACCTCTGTCTCCAGGTTGCAGGGCAAACAGTTCTGGAGCTTTATGAAGCCTGGAAGGCATTTGTTGTAAAACTAGTAGTTTTTTTTCTTGGAATATTCTAACTTTGACTTTCCACTACTTCCAACACATAAAAGAGCTATCGACACATTGCACTGTCAGTGTTGATGAGATTGGAATGTACATGCAAGAACTGGAATCAGAATTTTCTGACAGATTTCAAGATTTCCAGCGATTTGGCCCAATGCTTTCTTTTGTAATTGAACCTGAAAACTTCAATGAAAGTGACTTGGATTTGTTTGTATTTCAGTGGATTGGTGTTGAAGATTTCAAAATGCAGCTCATTCAGTTAAAAATCTCAGAATTGTGGATATCAAAGTTTGAAGATCTGCGGACTGCACTTGAAGCTACTGAGAGAGATCATGGGGTAGGGTGACCAGATCGCAAGAGTGAAATATCAGGACACATTGGGCGAGCGGGGCGGGGAGAGGGGAGAGGAAGACAATGACAGACACAGGTGCACAGAGCCATGAGAGGGGGCCCTAGGAAGCTGCGAGAGGGGTTGTACGGCCCCTGCTGCAGCCCGCACCACAAGCCACAGGGCAAGGACACCTATTGAATTCAATGAGAATTTTGCATGTGAATTGATGTACCTAGTTCTGAGATTATAAAGCCAGAAGGGATCCGGTGATCACCTGGTCTCACCGCCTGTATAGCACAGACATAGAACTTTCCCAAAATAATTCCTAGAGGATAGCTTTTAGAAAAAGCTTTTAGAAAAACACCATGACCCTTAGTATATTGTTAATCGTTAATTACTCTTACCATTGAAAAGGTATGCCTTATATCCAGTCTGAATTTGTCTAGCTGCAACTTCCAACCGTTGGCTCATGCTCTACCTTTCTCTGCTAGACTGAAGTGCCCATTCTTAACTATTTGTTCCCCATGTAGATACTTACAGACTATAACCAAGTCACTTCTTAACCTTCTTTTTGTTAAGCTAAGTAGATTGAGGTCCTTGAGTCGATCGCTATAAGGCATGTTTTATAATCCTTTAATCAGTCTTGTCACTCTTCTCTGAACACTCTCCAATTTATCAATATCCTTCTTAAATTGTGCACACCAGAACTGGACACAGTATTCCAGCAGTGGTTGCACCAGTGCCAAATACAGAGATAAAATAACCTCTCTACTCCTGCTTGAGATTCCCCTATTTAGGCATCTGGTCACCCTATTTCTGTATCCATTTCCCCAGGTTTTTTTGTAAAAATCAAAACTGAACTGCCCCAGAAATTCTGGCATGTGGAATCATCGTGAAACTCGCATGGCTCCAACCCTGCTGATGAACCTTTAGATCCACTGCACAGACTTCTGCCACTTGAGCTAATGGAGTAAGTGATGGCAGAGGCAGTAGGTTGTCATCCTATATGTGATAGATCAGCTCTATAGGGGGATGAGACACTTTTTTTGCCACTGGGTTTCACAGATATCTGCTGACAGAAGAGGAACTGTGAAACTCAGGAATCCTGGGTCTATTCCAGGCTCCTGAATGGAGTGGTCTCTAGTAGTCAAAGACCCTTCTGCCCGTCCCCTCCAGTCTATGTCTATCCTATTGCTGTCTAACCCGCCCCAGCTCCTCATCTGATTTCAACTGCCCCCCACTACCGCTCTGGATTCCTTGTCCCAGTTTCCTGGTCCTGTCTCACTCTCCTCTCTCCCCGCCCCCATCCCTCAGATGGGATGTTCGTTCCAGACTGGCAAAATTATAAGGCTTCCCAACATTTCAACACTTCCCATTCTAAATTTTCGGTTGCTTAACTATAGGCTAGTTCTGCCTACAACAAAGCATATTCAG